TCAATGCAGTTCCCATCAAAATACCACCACCATTCATCATAGAACTAGAAAAAACAATCCTAAAATTCATATGGAACCAAAAATGAACTCACATAGCCAATGCAAGACTAAGGAAATAGCACAAATCTGGAGGCATCACATTACTCAACCAACTATATTATAAGGCTATAGTCACCAGAACAGCATGCTACTTGTATAAAAACAGACATGTAGACCAATAGAACATAATAGAGAACCCAGAAATAAAGCCAAATACTTACAGCCAACTGATCTTTGACAAAGCAAACAAAAATATAAAGTGGGGAAAGGACACCCTATTCAACAAATGATGCTGGGTTAATTGGCAAGCTACATGTAGAAGAATGAAACTGGATCCTCATCTTTCACATTATATAAAAATCAACTCAAGATGGATCAAGGACTTAAATCTAAGACCTGAAACTATAAAAATTCTAGAAGATAACGTTGGGAAAACCTTTCTAGATGTTGGCTTAGGCAAAGATTTCATGAGCAAGAACCCCCTAACAAATACAATAAAAACAAAGATAAGACAAGTATGGTGGCCCACACCTGTAATTTCAGCACTTTGGGAGGCCAAGGCAGGCAGATCACTTGAGCCCAGAAGTTTGAGACAAGCCTGGGCAACATGGTGAAATCCCATCTCTACTAAAAACTAAAAAAATTGATTGGGCATGGTGGCATGCACCTGTAATTCCAGCTGCTTGGGAGGCTGAGTCAGGAGAATTGCTTTAATCCGGAAGGTGGGGATTGCAGTGAGCTGAGATGGCACCACTGCACTCCAGCCTGCTCTACAGAGTGAGACTTTGTCAAAACAAAACAAAACAAAACAAAACAACAACAACAAAAACCCAAAGATAAATAGGTGGGGCTTAATTAAACTAAGGAGCTGTTGCGTGGCAAAAGAAAGAGTCAGCAGAGTAAACAGACAGCTCACAGAATGGGAGAATATCTTCACTATCTATATATCCAACAAAGGACTAATATCCAGAATCTACAACAAACTCAAACAAATTAGCAAGAAAAAAAAATCCCATCAAAAAGTTGACTAAGAACATGAATAAACAGTTCCCCAAAGTAGATATACTTATGGCCAACAAACATGAAAAAATGTTCAACATCACTACTTATTAGGGAAATGAAAATCAAAACTACAATCCAATACCACCTTATGCCTGCAAGAATAGGAATAATTTAAAAATCCAAAGCTAATCAGTGTTGGTGTGAATGTGGTGAAAAAGGGACACTTTTAAACTCCTGGTGGGAATGTAAACTGGTACAACCATATGCAAAACAGTGATTCTTTAGAGAACTAAAAGTACATCTACCATTTGATCATGCAATCCCACTACTGGGCAGTATCTACCTAGAGAAGTCATTATATACAAAAGACACTTGTGCAGGCATGTTTATAGCAGCACAATTCGGAATTGCAATAATATGGAACCAGTCTAAATGCCCATTCACCAATGAATGGATAAAGAAATTTCTATCTATCTATCTATCTCCTTATCTATCTATATTATATATATAGATATATAGATATAAAACATGATGTCTCAACTGACATCGAGACTAGAAATCCTATCCAGCAAATAGCATATATATAACCACATATAGATATAAAGATATCAATATATAACCATATATATATGGTATAAATTCAACTTTTCTACCCTCTGTCTTCCTCCATATATATATATATATTCATATATATATGCAATCTCCATCTCCTGTGTTAAAGCAATTCTGTCTCAGCCACCCAAGCAGCTGGGATTACAGGCGTATCAACATGCCTGGCCAGTGTTTGTAGTTTTTAGTAGAGACAGGGTTTCCTCAATATATATATGCTATAAAATTATATATATATATATTTTTGGTGCACTCATCACCTGAGCAGTGTACACTGAACCCAGTGTATAGTTTTCTTTTAATCCCTCACCCTGCTCCTGCCCTTCCCCCAAGTCTCCAGAGTCCATTATGTCATTCTTATGTCTTTGTGTCCTCATAGCACACATGGGGGCTGTTTTAAACTTCAGAATCACTCACCGAAAGCACAAAATGCAGAAAACTAACTAGATGACAAAAAACACACTTACTTATAGTATAAGAACTAAAACACAAAGTCAAGTTATCAGCTTGTTCAATCCCAGCTGGAAAAGTGCATATTGTGTGACTAAATGTTTTGGCTTCCCTGTAGATATTAGTGAGTGATGGCAAAAGTGCTGGTGACTATTGATTTTGGAGGTCACAAATAAATTTTAGCAAATAGGCAAATTTACGAATGCAGAATTTGTGAATAATGAAGATTGATTGCATTATTGGATAATATAGTAAGCATATATTTAACTTCATAAGAAAATGCCAAACTATTTTCTAAAGTACCTGTATCATTTTGCATTCTCACTTTCAACCTCCAGTGGCCCACTCCCTCAACAGCAATTAGTGCTGTCAGCTTTTCTGACTTGAGCTGTTCTAATAGGTATATAGTGGTATCTCATTATGGTGTAATTTATGTTTCTATAATGAATAATGATGCAGAACATAATTTTCCAACCACTTATTTGCTACCCTTATATCTTCTTTGGGGAAGGTATTTCTGATCAAACATTTTACTCACTAAAAATTGGTTGTTTTCTTGCTTATTGTTGAGTTTCGAGAGTTCTTTCTGTATTCTGCACATAAATCCTTTGTCAGATATGTGATATGTAGGTGTTTCCTCCTAGGTTGTGCCTTGAGTTTTCATTCTATTAAGAGTATCTTTGACAGAGCAAATGTTTTAAATTTTGTTAAAATCTAATGACTTATTTTTATGGGCCATTTTATTTATTTCCTTTCAATCTGTATGCCTACTTATGTTTCTTGCCTTGTCTGTACGATGCTGAATAGGAATGGTGCAAGTGAGCATCCTTGCTTTTCTTTTCCCAGTTACAGGGGGAACGTGTGGTCTTTCACCATTAACTGTGAAATCTGCTGTAGAGTTAAAAATGCTACTTAATTTTTAGTAAGTAGCATGGTTAATAAAAATTTCTTTTCTATTCCTAGTTGGCTGAATAAAAATATATAAATGGATGTGAAATCTTTTTACATGCTTTCTTTCTGCATCTTTTAAAAAGATCCTGTGTTTTTTTCTCTTGTTCAGTCTGTTTTTTTGACGAATTATATTGATTTTCAAATGTTAAGCCAGCCTTGCATTTCTAAGATAAACCCACTTGGTTGTAATGTATTATCTTTTTAGTATAGTGCTGAATATACTTTGTTATATCTTGTTGATAACTTTTGTGTCTGTGTTCCTGAGGGATATTGGTTTGTAGATTTCTTTCCTTATAATATCTGCTTTTGTCATTGCTGGCTTCACAATGGAAATGTCCTCTCTAATAATATTTTTGGAAAGATATTGTGTATAATTGGTATAGTTTTTCCTTAAAGGTTTGAAAAATTCACCATTGATATCATTTGAGCTTGAACTTTTGTTTGTTAAATATCAAAATAATGTTTAAATAATGTAATTGAGTACTATGTATCTGAGATATAGACCTCTTTCTCACACATTTTCTCAATTATTTTAATAGTATATTTACTATTTCTACTGAAAATTTTGACTTAGGTTAGCATAAAGTATTGAAGGGAGGAAAGATCAATTAGTAGGTTTGATGAAAAACAGACACTACTTTGTTAGTTTTTTATTTCACTGAGGAGGTTAAAATCTTTTCATGGAAGAGCTGGACTTACAGTTAAAGATAAGGTAAACTTGTGACTTTACGTGAAATCATGACTTCTTTGTGTCCCAATTCTCTTATCTAAAATATGAGCATAATGCATAATAAAATGCATTAGCATAGATAAAGTATTCTGAATTTATGCCTAATTCATAAATCACTAAATTAGACTTCAGTAGAATATGAACACTAGTTTTTCATCAAGCTAGAAAGTAATCAGTTTTAAGCATAATTGTGGGAGAATTAACTAATTGTTCATCAAAATAGGTATTCCATTTGCTTTCTGAGTATATAGCAAGACTTTATTTCCCAACCTCCCTTAGGAGTACTTCACTGAATGCCACTGCTAGTCCCAAGTTGCTAACAACCTCTTGTATGCAGTCTTCAATGCTTTCTTCCCCTTCAGTCTGGCTGGGGATGAGACAATCAATGGTGATTTTGAGATTGCAGAGCTGCTACGAGCCTGGGTTCCTTGCATGAACGAGAGTTACCCTGCCAACACATTCACCTGTCCAATAATGCTGTTTGAAAAACAAAATAATGTGTTTGGATTATTTATTAACAATAACCAGTGTTACTTTCATTTGTACAGTCAAACAGGGTAAAAGTTCTCTCCTAATGCTAATATACTTTTCTTATTAAGAAAAATTAATATTCAAATTTGAGCAATCCCAATGGAACAGAGTATCCTATTCCAAAGGGAACACAATTTATTATTCCCCAAACCTACAAATCAAATATTAAAAAAAGAAAAGTAATATTAAGAGTTTGCTAATCAGGTGAAAGATTCCAGGGAAGGATATATGTGGTTTTGTTTGGTTGTTGTTGGTTTAAGGATAGGCATAATAATCCAAGATAGGCATTCCAAGCAGCAATGATACTGAATTTATATATTAAGAGCAAGAAACTTTACTCACACCTATAACTGTGCAACACAGTATGTGAGCAATGTTGATTCAGGAATTGCTAAATAACTACTGGGGAATCTTATATATTTATATGTACTTATGAGCAATAGAAGTTATTAGATATTTATGTGACTCACTAAGAATTTCCACAATTCTACTTTAATACTGAAAACTATTCACACATTTAAGCAGAATTCCACAGTACTTGAACAATAACAAACTGACAATTAAAATGCAGAGAGATAATAGATTCATATTCTTCCTGTGTGATGGAAGATTGTTTAGATTTCAAGGTTTATTTTGTCCTGCCATCAGAGTTATTAATCATCCTTCCTTATTTTTTTTTCACTGCGAGGATTGACAAGGATTTTCTTTCACCTTGAAAACCTGCACGTAGTGAGGAGTTTCTTTGCCTTATTCCTGCAGTTTTAACATATCCTACTGAGGAAAGGTAAGTTGTTTTTTATTCTGTGTTCCATTATATTTTTGACAAATGATTTTTATTTAAATCACAGCTTTAATTCCTCTCTTGGTATTGCAGGATCATAAACAAATACATTTTTATGTTATTTTTCTTTAGTAATCTTTATGATTTTATTCTCAGCAACTGGACTAATTCAATAAGCAGCAGACCATAAGGCAGTAAATGCATATACTATTAATTTTTATTGCCAAAGTTTCTTTTATGTACTATGTGATCTAAAGACGTTATTCACATTTTTATGATGATACTGGCAGATTTGAAAAAATCTAGTCCTGTAATTCCTATTCATAAAGCCTGGGTACTTTTAACTCAGCAGCCCAAAAAATGGTAGCAATTCAAGTCTCATGAACCAGTTCATTAAGTCAACGTTTTGGGTTAGAAAGGAAAAGGAAAGCAGGTAACTCACAGTTCCTTTGCCGAATCAATAGAACACAATTGGGAAGGTTTAACTACTGTGCTCATACCAGTTCACTACAAGAACTTGGTGGATGATTTACTCTTTTCTTTGTTCACCTTCAAAATGAGAAGTACAGTCCTGAATTACCTCTAGAATAGCTTCCAAAAATTGCTTCGATTCTGTAGTTGCACAAAATTGGAGCTGAAGCAGTTGGCCATTAAACCAGGGTGGTCAAATTAAGAAAAAATAGAAAGAAAACAAAGGATGTAAGGACATGCCTTAGTCCCAGATGGCCTGGTGTTCTGCAGGCCCTCACTCCCTAGACTACTTTGCTGCTACCTTTGCAGTTGTACTAATTTGTAAGTACTGTAGAATCTCCCATCTCAAGCTCATGCTAACTACTCCAGTGCTCTCAATTCATATTTTCTCACCTTTGAAAATGATTTATGTTCCATAGGATCCAAAAGAAGAGCTAGATACAATGTAAAACATGGGTGGTAATGATAGTACAAGCCCTGAAAGGACCTAATCGACTGATATTTATTGAGGACGTATTTGTAAAACTTCATGGAAATACAAATAAACATGTTTCATGACCACTGAGAGCTTAGTCAGAGAAATAAGATCCTGGTCACAAAAGATACATAAAATATAAGCTGATAATCATGCAAAAGTTGTTTTATGGCTATTGATAGCCATGCAAAAATGATAGCTAAATGACTGGTGTGGGTATTTCTATGTTCCTGTGCCCTGAGAATTTTTCTGGGCATTCAGTTTATTCTTTGAAAGTTGCTTAGTATTAAGCAATACTAGAACAACAAAAACAAAAATTATTTTCTTTGCATTGCTGAGGCAGACAATCAATACTAAGGGCACTCCGAGAGAAAAACATGATTCAAGGCTGGGTGGTATAAAAATTCTTTATGGAGTTGGTAATACATGAGTTGGATATTTCTCCAAATCTATGGCAGATGTAGTACTTAATGATGAAGTGTTAGAAACTTTCCTTTAAAGTGTGGAATGAGGCCAGTATGCCCAGTATGCCACTATTTAACATTAGGCTAGTGATCCTAGCAAACATCATAAAAGTAATAAAAGGAATTAAAATTAGAAAGCAATATACAAAAAAAGCCCTGTTGTTGGACATTAATCTGTAGTATGCATTTTTTGAAATAGCTTTAATAAGGCAATTTACATGTCATACAATTCACCTGTTAAAATGTACAATTCAGTTAATTTTAGTATATCCACAGTTGTGCAACTATCACAATAATTTAATTTTAGAACATTTTCTTTTGTTCAAAAAGTAACCCTACACTATTAATAGTCACCATCATATCATATACCCTTAGCCTTAGGCAACCATTAGCATGTTTCTGTTTATAAAATTTGCCTATTATGGGCATTTCATGTAAATGGAATTGTACAATATCTTGTTTATTCTTTCACTAAGGTAATGTTTTTGAGCTTCAACTATGTAATAGCATATACCACTATTTCATAACTTTTTATTGGAAAATAGTATTTTATTACATGGATAAGCCATACCTTACAGCCTATTCATTAGTAGATGGATGTCTGAATTGTTTCAACATTTTGCCATTATGAATAATGTTGCTAGGAACATTCATGTACAAGTATTTTTGTAGATGGATGCATATATTTCTTTTGGCTAGCAATTGCTGGGTCATAAGATTACTCTGTTTGGTAACTCTGTGATTACTTTAACACAAATGGTTTAAGCATTTGAGGAAGTGCCAGACTATTTACCAAAGTGGCCAAAATGTTTTACATACCCACCATTAATATATGAGGTTTCCAATTTCTCTACATTCTCACCAGCACTTGTAATTATCTGTCTTTTTCATCATAATTAATCTTGTAGATGTGAAACGGAGGCTTGTCTGGTTTTGATTTGTATTTCTCTAATGACTAATAATGATGGCACATCTGTTCACGTACCTCTTGGCCATTTTGTATGGTCAGTTATGAATCATAAATAATTTTCATTTATTATAAGTGGGGTTTTAAATGTAATTGAGTTGTGAATTTTTTATATATTCTGAATACAAGTCCTTTATCTGATATATGATTTGAAAATATTTTCACTTATCCTGTGGGTTGTATTTTCACTGTCATGATGGTGTTCCTTAAAGGTACAAAATTTTAAAAATTTTGAGAAGTTCCAGGATTTTTTGTTGTTGTTGTTTGTTTCAAGATGGAGTTTCACTCTGTCATCCAGGCTGGCATGCAGTGGCCCCGTCTCGGCTCACTGCAGCCTCTGCCTCCTCGGTTCAAGTGATTCTTATGCCTCAGTCTCCCAAGTAGCTAGGACTATAGGCATGTGCCACCATGCCTGGCTAACTTTTGTATCTAGTAGAGATGGGGTTTCACCATGTTGGCCAGGCTGGTCTCGACTCCTAAACTCAGGTGATCTACCCTCTCAAAGTGCCAGGGAAGGGAGCACTACACACTGGGGTCTATTGGGGGGAATAGGGGAGGGACAGCAGGGGGTGGGGAGCTGGGGAGTGATAGCATGGGGAGAAATGCCAGATGTGGGTGAAGGGGAGGAGGCAGCAAAACACACTGCCACATGTGTACCTATGCAACTATCTTGCATGTTCTGCACATGTACCCCACAACCTAAAATGCAATAAAAAAAGAAGTGCCAGAATTATAGGTGTGAGCCATCATGCCTGGCCAGAAAGTCCAATTTATCTACTTTTTTGTTGCTAGGTTTCTGGGTCATTCTGAAAATCTATTGCCTAATTTAAAGTCATGAATATTTACTTAAATATTTTCTTCTAAGAGTTTTAAGTGTTTTCGCTCTCACAGTTAGTTCTATGATTCGTTTTGAGTTAATTTTTGTATATAATGTGAGGGAGGTGTCCAAAGTCATTACTTTGCATGTGGATATCTAGTTGTCCCAGCACCGCTTATTTAAAAGACAATCTAATTGTTCTGGCATAATTTTAAAAAATCAGTTGACCATAAATATGAGGGTTTATTTCTGGACTTAAAATTTTTTCATTAATCTAAATGTCTACCTTATGGCAGTACCACAGTATCTTGATAACTAAAGCTTTGTTAAAAATTGTGAAATTTGTGGGTGTGGACAGGGAAGAGAGCTGGTATGATTTTAAAGGAGCAACAGGAGGCAGATCTTTGTGGTGATGGAACAGTTCTGCAGCTTGATCACGATGGTGGTTACGTCTAGCTACACATGATGAAATGGCATAGAAGTATACACATGTATTGTACCAATATCAGTTTCCTGATTTTCATATTGTATTACAGTTATAAAAAATCTAAGCCTTGGAGGAATCTGGGCAAAGACTACACAGGACCTCTCTCTTGTAACATCCTGTGAATCTACAATTATTTCAAAATAAAAAGTTAAAATATGAACAAATAAAATAAAAAAATTGTGAAATTTGGATGTGAATCCTCTAACTTTTCTTTTTTGTTTTGGCTATCCTGCATCCTTGAATTTCTATATAAATTTTAGGACCAACTTGTTAATTCTGTAAAAACTCCCAGTTGGGATTTTGATGTGGATTAAATTTAAAGATCAATGTGGGGAGCATTGTCATTTAATAATACTAAATCTTCTTTCAGAACAGCCTGCAACATAGTGAGATCCCATCTCTAAAAATTAAAAAATAAACAGAAGCTGGATGTGGTGGTGTACAACTACAGTCTTAGCTATTTGGGGAGGCTGAGACAGGAGGATCCCTTGATCACAAGAGTTCTAGGCTGTGCTGAGCTTTAATTGCACTACTGCACTCCTGCTTGGGCAACGGAGAGAGACCCTGCCTCTTAAGAAAAAAAAATGATGATATTATTTTGAGTACATTTCAGGTTGAGAAAGTTTTTGTGTTAAAGTTTGTGAAATGCTTTTTCTGTTTCTATTTGAGAAAGAATAGCAATTTTTATGAATTCTTGAAAAAAATAGGAGAGGGGGATCACTTAATTGCCTGAAGTCAGAATTATCTTAATAAGAAAAACAAAGACATGTCAAGAAAATAAAACTACACATCAATATTTCTCATAAACAAACATACAAATGTCCTGAAAAGTTATTAGCAAACTGAATCCACTTTGCAGAAACTGGATATGAAAAGAATTATATGCCATTGTTAGTTTTTTGCTTGTTGAATCGTTCAAGTCCCTTTATAGATTCTGGATTCCTTTGTCAGATACGGTTTGCAAATATTTTCTCCTGTTTGGTAGGTTGTCTGTTTTCTCTGTTGATAATTTCTGTTGCTATTCAGGAGCTCTTTAGTTTAATTAGGTCCTATTTGTCAGTTTTTGTTTTTGTTGCAATTCCTTTTGAAGACTTAGTCATAAATTCTTTGCAAAGACGATGTCCACAGTGGTGTCTCCTAGGTTGTCTACTAGGATTCTTGTAGGTCAAGGTCTTACGTTTAAATATTTAATCCATCTTGAATTAACTTCTGCATATGGTAGAAGGTGGGGGTCCAACTTTCATTCTTCTGCATGTGGCTAGCAGTCTATCTCTGCATCATTTACTTAATAGAGGATTTTCTCCTCATTGCTTATTTTCATT